CGGGAGGCTTAGGCAGGAGAATCACTTGAACCCGGGAGGTGGAGGTGGCAGTGAGCCGAGATCAAGCCACTGCACTCCATCCTGGGAGACAGAGCAAGACTCCGTCTCAAAACAAACAAACAAATGAACATATTTATTGGGATTTCTTAACTTATCATTCAAAACCTTTAGCTTGTCTTTCATATACCAGAATCTTTAAATGTGGTGTATTTTAGGTACTCTCATACGATTTACCAAATGTTTCTTCAGGTATGTTATGTCTGCCATTTAGCTTATGTATTTCACTTAAGTTATTTATTTTTTAACTTTGGTGATTTTTTTCTTTTTATTTCAATGACTATATTTTCATTCTCCAATATATTAGACCTTGCATTTTTATAATCCCCACTTGTTTTTGGTCATATTCACCTGTTTTTGTTTTATAATTTTCTGTTCTTAATTTATTCCTTTCTTTAACATTTTGAGGATTTACATTTTTACATTTTATTATATTTTAATAATGTACATATACTTCTTTGTATCCTTACCACCAATAAAATAGGTTTTATTGCTCTTTTATCTATATAGTGGGTGTAAAAAAACTGTATCACTTATAATTTGCATTTTCCTTAATACTGTTATCTTTGAGCATCTATTTATATATGTTCATTTTCCATATAAGATTTTCTATTTATATATTTTGCCTATTTTCCTGTTTTTGTGCTCTTGTCAATTTCTAACAGTACTTTGACTATAGATCAGTGGTTTTCAAATTATGGTCTGTGAAACTCTGGGAGTCCCTGAGACACTTTCAAGGGATCAGTAAGGTGAAAACTAATTTAGTAATTATACTAAGATTTTATTTGCTATTTCTACTGTGTTGATATTTGCACTTATGGTAGGTAAATTACTGTCACCTATTTAGTAGAAAGCAAGGCAGTGGCCTTGAACTGTACTGGCAATTGAATAACTTCTTAGTTGAGACGCTGCTGAAAACAAAAGCCAGGTTAACAAGGAAGAAAGTGGCAGAAGTTTATGCATGTGCTGTACCTATCATGCTGGAGAGGCCTCAATTCAAAAGTATCTCCTATTGGTACCTTAGGGGCCTTGCTTACGTAATATTTTAACAAACAGTCATAAATCCAATTTAGTGACAAAACAAAGGAGAGAGCAATTCCAGTCTTCTAAAAGGTTAGAAAATGTGGGATGATAGTAAAATCTGTTCCCAGATTCCTTTGGTGCCTGCTGGTGCTTTCTCTGGACAGATTAGCAAATGTTATCTCCAGTAAGGAAGGATTGGTGTCCTGCCATTGGGCAAATGGAGGCTAAGGCCTGAATGGTCCCCTCCATTTTCAGCATCTTTAACCTTACAACCCTCAGTATTTGGGGGAGAAATACTTTGTTTTTCTTCAGTCCCCCTTTTACAGCTTTAGTTTTAGAAAGTTTTACATATTAAAGTCCAAGTTGGTAGCTTTGGGGAGATTTGGGTTAGAGGTTCTAATCTGGCAAAGGGGGAGAAATAGATTGAAACAAGTAGAAAGCAACAAATTGGGTTCCATGTCTTACCGAATGAGTCTCTTCGTCTTGAGAGTAATTAGCTTAGTTGAACAGATGAGCCTGATTTCAGGAGGTGGTGTTATAGGTGAATTTTTTTCAAATTTAGTCTCTATATGGTATAGGCACACTGGTATTTAGTTGGAAGCATTTTTATGGAAAACACAGAAAAACAAAAATTAATATCTGGAGCAGTCTGCAAACTAGTCTTTTGAGTTTGGAGGGCAGTCAGCTGAGAATATTTTAGATTTTGACTCAAAAAATTTCAGTTGGGATGGACAGGGAGTGGCAATTTGATAGATTTTCCCAGATTGTCATTTGAATCAGGGGTTCCACTGAACTTTCTGTACATACATAAGTTGTTGTAGTGATTTCTCCAAAGTTTATATCAGGTTGTCTAGCATTAACTTGCAGGACTTTAGGAAAAGCAGTTTTGATGTCTAGGGATTTAGAGTCAGATGAGTGAGTGGGAGAAATATTGGAAATTTTAGTCTGGAGAGTCATAGTCAGATATTGGAAGAAACTAAAAATTCAAGATTCAGCCTAGATAATTCTTTAAAAACCCTTAAAAGCAAATGGACAAAGCTAGAATCTAATAACGAGCGCACTATAGTTTTTAAATTTTTCTTGAAACATAATTTTTCTCTCTCTGGTCACCTATTTCTACCAAAGATCACAGTGAGTCCGGTTTTGTTGTAAAATAAGTTTTAGCCTCATTATGGTTGGCTTGATTAGTTATATAAACTGTAGCAAGGCCGGATGCAGTGGCTTACACCTGTAATCCCAGCACTTTGTGAGGCCGAGGCAGGTGGATCACTTGAAGTCAGGAGTTCAAGACCAGACTAGCCAACATGGTGAAACCCCATCTCTACTAAAAATACAAAAATTAGTCGGGCATGGTGGTGCACGCCTGTAATCCCAGCTACTTGGGCAGCTGAGGTGGGAGTATCGCTTGAACTTGGGAGGCAGAGGCTGCAGTGAGCAGAGATTGCGCTGCTGCACCCTAGCCTGGGCGACAGAGCGAAACTCCATTTCTAAATAAATAAATAAACTGTAGAAAAAATAATGATTGACCTTATTATAGGCTCTTTTAAAGTTGGCTTTGCTGGAACTTGTCATAAGGAAAAGACTTTTAAAATACTCTGCAGGTTAGGAAGTCAAGCCATGGACTCACCCTCAGATTTTACCTGTAGTACTTGAGTGAATTCTTTTCTTGAAGTCCCCAAAGTATTTAGAGTATTCTGCACTTCTCAGAAACTGATATTTTTTTACCTACCACAAGGCTAGTAACCCTGTAAAGGAACCATGTAGACAGCGTACTTGGCCAGTTTTTCCAAGGGATTAATTGGATCCTAGTTAACCCTTAGTTCCTTAAAGCAGCCTGGTCATACCTGAAAATGTGACATCCCAATCAAAGCCTTTGTAATATGTGTTTTTAACTGTGTCTTATTATGAAAGGAAACAGATTCTTATTAATGTTACGCAAATAACTATATTGCCATAAAATAAAAATATTTATGGTTAGTTTCTCAATTCAGAAGAAATCAGAGAGAAAGGTAAATGTTTAGATTTTGCTTACAAAAATATACTTTACCCAATTCCTGCAAACTATAAGTAGCTTAAAAAAAAAAAAAGCTTTCTCGACTCTGGAAAAAGAAACAAAAAATAATTAGCAATGTTTTCAACAAAAAGTCATTAAAAATCATTTTAGTCCTGCATCAGTTCAGTCCCACATAATTCTTTTTCTGCTTGATGTTAGATTAGCAATTTTATGAGTCCAGTTTTTAAAATGGGAGTTATTCAAATTCTTAACCAGTCTAATCGTGTTATCTCAGTGATGTCGGAAAACTGTACTTAAGTGTATTTAAAGTCTATTCCATGAATCTTCTTGAAGACACTTTAGGATTTGCAGAGAGCTTTTGAAGAAAAAACAAAAGCAACAGAATAAAGCAGTAACACATCCAGAATGTTTATTAGGGACCAGTTCTGCAGGCACTTTTGCCTGGCAACTCCAACAATCTCAGACTCCCAGAAGGCAGAAAGATGTTCAGTGCATCAGGTGCTTAAAAAGACAGTTTTATCATGAAGAAAAGGATTCCTGTCTTGTGGAGGGAAGTGTTTACCAGCCAAGGGCTAATCCTGCAAGCAGCCTCCCACCTGCAGCGTTAACTCTTTTATGCACATAAGCTGATCTTGAATTGTTGCTGGTTTGTGTGTACTTCTGCTGGATGCTCAGAAGAGTATACTTTTGATACAGTGTTTCAGAGAATTTGGGGGATATTTTGACTTAAATTCAGACTTAGTTCTATTTCAGGAAATACCTTCATATGGGTCAGATTTCTGGAGAGAAAAAGTTTTCTTTCTTTGTCCCCAGTCATACTGTGACTCACTACAGTTTCCAGCTCTAACCCTTCAGGTTCAGTTATTCTATGTGATATTTGTATATATTACATATCTTTGATATTATAAGTCATGATATATGTATGTATATATGATAAATGTGTACCTACGCTGATGGATGAATCAGTACAAAAAGCATATTAGAATTCCTGTTCAGAAATGAAACCTATAGAGGTTTCCTTAGCAATTAGAAGCTGTCTGGTCTCTACTCTGAATACAAAGATGGACGGTAGCTAACTATATGTACTTAATTTTAGCTTAAATGTGTAGGTAGAAAAGTAAACAATGACTGGGTGCACTTCAGTGTATGCAGGAAGCTTTTCCTGAGCATAATCCAGGAACAGGCAGGGAAATCTCCCTTGTTTGACACAAGTAGCAACAGAGCAACTTCCTATTTTGGAAGTTGAACTTTTCTGACTTTTGGTATTGTAGTGAATTTCTTTTCATTTTTATTTTTCTTGTGTCATTTCAGTGAGAATTTGGGATGGTTAAAATATATATATGTGTGTGTGTGTGTGTGTGTGTGTTTTCTCAGTTCCAGCTGTTGTACTCAACTCAATAAAACTAATTGTGTATCTATTAGAAACATATTTTTGAATATTGTTCATAATTATATGAATTTAATTTCTTCCAAGATAAATATTTAACTTAGAGAAGTGCTATACCTGAGTTTGAGCAGCATAGTGTTGAGGTTAATAGAATAGGCTCTGGGACCAGGCTCCGTAAGTTACAATCTTAGTTTTGAAAACATAGGCATTGGACATGTGACATAATCCCTGCCTCCCTCAATTTCTTTATGACAGATAGAAAATCTTAATGATGATGACAGATTCAAATGAGTCACTATTTGTAAAGTGTCAATCATAGTATTTGATACTTAGATAAGTGTTGGTACTTAAATAAGTGTTGGTACAAGATAAGTGTTGGTGAACTAAAAATAAATATAATTGTATCTAAAAACATGTGCCAAGAATTTATACCAAGTAATCATATTTCTTAAATAGTTACAATATGTTTGAATTATTTAAGTAACCATTTTTTGTCTTTCTCTTCTTAATTTTTTACAGCTTATCGTGAGCCTCATTATTATTATCAGTTCACAGCTCGATATCATGCAGCTCCCTGCAACAGTATTTATAATATTTCTTTTGAGAAGAAACTTATTCAGATTTTAAGCAAACTGCTTCTTGACCTTTCATGTGAAATTTCCTTACTTAAGTCTGAATGCCATCATATTAAAATGCAAAGAGCTGGTTTGCAAAATGAATTGTTCTTTACATTTTCAGGTAAGTCTATACAATTTATTAGAAAAGCAAATGGAGAACACATAACTAAGAGTTAAAAAATGTTGTTAATTACTCACAGCATTTTTACAATATAAACACTATACATCTGAATATATTTTGTTCTCTACTTTGACTTAGTGCTATTAACCCCTCAAATAGAATTCTACTGATTCATGTACTAATGAAAAGTTTGCTCTCTCAATAACACTGTTATGATAATTTACTGTAGAGTGGAATTTAGTGTAAGGAAAGTCATGCTATTTAGGTTTAATGATTTAATTTGTAAAATCATCTTATTATAAGATGGGTTAATATCATAGACCAGAGGAAACATTCAGCTTAGTATGCTTTTCTTAATAATGTGGAGTAGAGGCCCAGTATTTTCTGGAAAACAAAGAATTGGACTTTATACTTATACCTTTATATTTATCTTTATATTTATAATGGTTTATGAATGACCATTTAGGAATACCCACCCATGTGTTTTTAAAAGGTCCCAGTGACAGTAGGGCACCCCTCCCCTTTCATCACAAATGTTATTGCTTGCTAATTTCCTTCCTCCTTTTTTAGTGTTTTTTTTTTTTTTTAAATCATTATTTATCTACTATCAGAGTTGGATTGTATTTAACCATTTCCCCAACTTTCCCTTCTGTTTCTTTTTTGGCCATCTAGGATTGAAGTTTTAGAAACACAGTTGAGAGGCATGAAGCTTTAAGGGGAAAAACCAAGAGAAGTTCAGCCTCATTTTCTGTCTTTTATCTCCTTACTTTTCTCCTGTCTTCCCTTCTCTTCTCCTCTCTTTCCTTCTCCTCAGCCCTCCCCTCCCCTCACTACTCCTTTTCCCTTCCCTGCCCTCCCCTCTCTCTCCTCTTCTCCAGAAATACATTGAGAGTTTTTCTCCAGCCCCTGGGTCTGTCTAATAGGTAGATCAGTTCTTAGAAAACCTGAAAGTGTGGCTCTCTTCAGGTTCAGCACTTTGGGAGGCTGAGGCAGGTGGATCACTTGAGGTCAGGAGTTTGGGACCAGCCTGGCCAACACGGGGAAACCTGCCTCTACTAAAAATACAAAAATCAGCCGGGCATGGTGGCGTGGGCCTGTAGTCTCAGTGACTTGGGAGGCTGAGGCAGGAGTATCACTTGAACCCAGGAAGCTGAGGTTGCAGTAAGCCGAGATCATGCCACTGCACTGCAGCCTGGCTGACAGAGTGAGACTGTTTAGAAAAAAAAAAAAAAAAAAAAAAAGCTGAAAGTGTACTGGAACTCATAAAAGAGATGATATCCAATAGAAATGAAGCATTATGAGACTTGATTTGCATTTCTCCGAAGGCAAATGTTGTTGAGCATCTTTTCATGTGCTTATCGGTCAGTTGTGTATCTTCTTTGGAGAAATGTTTATTCAAGTCCTTTGCTCAATTTAAAATTGGGTTTGTGTCTTTTTGGTGGTGTTGTAAGAGTTCTTTATATATTCTGAATACTGTATTCTTATTAATATGTGATATGCAAATATTTCTTCCATTTTATAGGTTGTTTTTTCACTTTCTTAATAATGTCCTTTGATACCCAATTGATTTTAATTTTGATGATGTCCAATTTACCTGTTTTTTTCCTTGTGTTTCTTGTACTTTGGGTGGCGTTTCTAAGAATATGTTGTCAAATCTGAGGTCATCAAGATTTACTCCTTCTGTAGTTTTAGCTATTACACTTCGGTCTAAGATTCATTTTGAGCTAATTGTGTATATAGTATGAGGTATGGGTTCAGCCTTATACTTCATATTTTGCATATGGCTATCTGGTTGCCCAAGAACATTTGTTGGAAGAGACCATTTTTTTCCACATTGAATCGTCTTGGCAACCTTGTTGAAAGTCAGTTAACCATAAATATATGAGCTTATCTCTAGACTCTCAATTCTATTGCATTGTTCTCTACTTTGATTTCTCTATGTGAATGTTTGTCAACTTTATTGCATTTTTTCCAAAAACCATTTTTTTATTGCTTTTTCTCTTCTCTAGTTTATATATTTTCTACTCTTTATTATTTCCTTCTTTTTGCTAGCTCTGAGTTTAATTCATTCTTCTTTTTCTAGTTTCTTAAGGTGTGACATTAAGTAATTGATTTGAAATCTTTCTTCTTGTTAAGTATAGGTGTTTACTTACACCCATACATTTCCTTCTGAGTACTGCTTTAACTGCAACCCATACTTTTTGGTAAGTTGTATTTTCATTTTCATTCATCTGCAAGTATTTTCTAACTTCCCTTATACTTTTTTTTGACCTGTTTGTTATTTAGAAGTATGGTGTTCAATTTCCACATGTTCGTATACATTCTAGATGTCCTTCTGTTAAGGCTTTCTGATTTATTTCTTTTGTGGGATAGAAGTCTAGTCCAAATGACCACCAGGATGGCTAAATAGTAGAAAGAAGAGATTTATTGTGACATCAACTTGCAGTTTGGGAAGATATGATCTTTGGTGTGGACTGAAGGCACTCTCTCTTCCAAAGGGAAAGGGTCTGTATTAACAATAGGGTCTTATGTATTCAGCGTGTTTTGAGTAAAGCTATAAATATTTATGAGGGGGGTTGAACACATGTACAATGGGTAGACATGTAACTTACGTTCCATGTTCACTTTGGGGTGGGTTTTAGCATTAAAACGAGGTAGAATTTGGCTCTGTCTATTGAAAGGCTGACTATAAAACACAAAGAATTTGTTCAGTCTCTATTAGCTTGCTGAAACTGGCTTAAGGCCTGCAGTTGCCTTTCAGGAAGGAGTTCTTGTAAGGCAGATTCTCTGTCCAGTCAGAATTTTAGTGGTCTCGGTTGTAAATCAGTTAGGAAGGGAATCTGGCAATTTGTCTGATAGCTCCTGTTAAAGGGTTTAGCAAGGTGTGTTTGCATGCGTGTGTGTGTGTGTGTGTGTTTTGTAGCCATAGAAATTTAGGGAATTGACATGCCAGCTGAGCCCTGAACCTTTAGCTCATAGCTAATTTTTGTTTCCTTAACCTTGGGGTCCATCTTAGTTGATAAAGGGGCATCTATTTTTGTTTCTCAGATTACAGAAGCTACTTTATATCATTTTCATCTTCTTATACTTACTGAGACTCTTTTGTGGTTACACACATGGTCTACCTGGAGGAATGTTTCATATGTACTTGTGAAGTATGTGTATTCTTCTGTTGTTGGGTGGAGGGTTCTGTGTATATTGTATAGATCTAGTGTTGTTCAAGTACTCTATCTGCTTATTGATCTTCTGCCTAACTTTTATATTCATTATTGAAGGTGCGGTATTGATGTGTTCCACTATTATTATCTGCTTTTCCCTTCTGTTCTGTCAATTTTTGCTTCATATAATTTGGGACTCTGTTGTTAGAGGCCTATATACTTACAAATGTTATATGTTCTTTAATACATTGGCCCTTTTATCAAAATATAGTGCATTTCTTTGCATCTTGTAACAATTTTTGACTTAAAGTTTATTTTATCTGATGTTTGTATATAGATCTGTTTATATTTTTTGTTTCTTCTTGAGTTTTGATAGTAATGTGTTTCCAGCAATTTGTCTATTTTATCTAGATTTGATGACTATTTGCACAAAGTAGCTTTTTTCATCCATTTACTTTTAATCCATGTTTTTTTTGCTTTTGCACCTAAAGTGAATCTTTTGTAGACAATAGTTAGATCCTGCATTTTTATCCATTATGTCCACTTCTGCCTTTTAGTTGGTGTCTTTAAATTAAGCCACTTACATTTAAAATTATTACTGATAAGGGAGGACTTACTTTTGCCTTTTTGCTACACATTTTCTATATATTTTTTTTACATTAATTGACTATTTTTAGAGCAGTTTTTATTTTACAGAAAAGTTAAGCAAAGTATAGACACACACATTTTTATATGCATATTTGTATATAAAAAGTCATTAACAAACCCAAGGTCACTTTTTCTTCTTTGTTTCCAGCTTCCCAATTTTGTGTATTTTACAGTTATCTCTGTGATTATATTATGAAGTTAATTTTGGTTAAAGGTATAAGTCTAGATTTATTTGCATGTGGATATCCAGTTGGTCAAGCATCATTTTTTAAATGACTATATTTTCTCTTTTGAATTGCTGTCTTTTCCTTTGTGAATGATCAATTGAGTATATTAACATGGGTATATTTCTGAGATTTCTGTTCACTTATATTGGTCTCTGTCTGTTCTTTCATCAGTATTATACCATCTTGACTTCTGTAGTTTTATAGTAAGTCCTCTGTATTTATAGTCAGTCCTCTGTATTTCTTGCCTTTAATAATGTGTTGGCTGTTCTAGGTCTTTTGCCTTTTCACGTAAATTTTAGAAGCAGTTTGTAGATAAGCACAAAATATTTTATTGATATTTTGAGTGTCATTGAGTTTAAAGTACATATCAAGTTGGCAAGAACTGACACTGTAACAATAGTGGATCTTCCTATCTATGAACATGGAATATCTTTTTATTTACTTAGATCTTTGATTTTTTATCAGAGTTTTACAGTTTTCCTCATACAGACTTTGTACTTATTTTTTTATATATTTCATTTTTGTTAGTGTAGTGGCATTGCATTGTTTTCACATTACAGTTGTTTATTACAAGTACATAGGAAAGCAATTGACTTTTTAAAACAATTTTTAATTGTATAATTTTAAGATGTACAACATATTTATATACACACATATGTAAACATTAAAATAATTACTGCAAGTCAAGCAAACTAGCATATCTATTATCTCACATCATTATCTTTCTTTCCATCTCCAACCCATGGTAAGAGCATGTAAAATGACTCTTCTTGCAAGTTGTTAGCATATAATACAGTATTATTAACTAGAGTCCTCATGTGGTACATCAGAACATCAGATCTCTAGATTTATTCATTCTTCTTAACTACAACTTTATTCACTTTGATTCACATCATTACCACAACCCCTGCCCTGCCCCTGGGTAATCACCATTATACTTCCTGATTTTATGAATTTAGTGTTTTTT